GCAGAGGCCCGACGGGCCCGGGCGCCGCGCACCCCGGCCCCGCCCCCATACCCGAGGGGCTGAGGGAAGGGGAGGGGAGGGGCGACGCACTCCGGCCACGCCGCACGCTCTCCGCTTCCCTCGGTCCTGCGTGCGCGCGCGCGCTCTCCCCAAGTCCCGCGGAGTTTAACACAATGCCGACGCCTACGCCGTGCGCAACGCCCCGGCTGGCGCAACAGCTCCGGCGCCGGGGGCGGGGGGTGGTCAGACAGGGCCAGGGGAAGAGCGCGCGCGAGAGCCGAAGACAGCGCGAGACCCGAGGAGGCCGGAAGCGCGCGTGCGCGCCCCCGCCCGCGAGCGGGGAGGCGGAGCCGCAGCAGTAGCGGCAGCAGCTGTAGGAGCCGCTGCAGCTGGGAGAAGCGCCAGAGAGGCCGGGCCTGCTCCGGTCGGACCGGATCCCTCCCCTCCCCCTCCGTCTCCGCTCCCCTCCCCCAAACCCACTTCCGCAGCTCGCGGCCTTGCCGCCGAAGAAGCAGCGGCGGCAGCAGCAGGAGGCGGCGGCGAGGCGTCGGAAGGATTACGCACCTGACGGGCCCGCCTCTCAGGGCTCCAGCGCGGGACGCTCACCGGCCGCCGCCGCTCGGGACGCACTTCGCGGTGGCGGCGAGAAGGGAGGGACCGGCAACGGGGAACGGAACGCGAATCGCCCCCCTCCCCTTCCTCCCTCCCTCCCTCCGATCCGCCGCCCGCCCTCTCGGCTTCCGTCCCCTCCCCCTCCCGCAAAGCCCCGGATGGAGCCGCCGCCGACTCGCCGCCGCCTGGCTCCGGGGGATGGTTTTGTCAGGCGGCCAGAGCCCCGGCGCCAGGCGCAGCCGCCCCCGCCCCCGCGGGGCGCCCCTGCCCTCGCTTCCCAGAACTGGGTCCCCGTGTGGTCCGGGCCCTCCGCCTGCCTTCACCCGGAGCCCCGGGACGGGGGTCATTCTTCTTTGTTGCCACCGTTGGTGCCGGAACCGTTTGCGAGCTCCGGTGGCCCCCGCCCCCCCTCCGCCTTCCCGGAGCCCGGGCCGGGGGCGGCACGTGGGCACCGGCCCCGGGAGGTGGAGGCGTTGCGTGCTTACCTGTCGCCGGTGCTGCTGCGGCGGGGGGTGTGGAGGAGGCACCGCTGGGCAGCCTTGGCCGTGCTCTCCCCGCCGCCGCCGCCTCTGCCTCTCGCTGCTGCTGCTGCTGCTGCTGCCGCCGCGGTCGGTGTCTCCGGCGCGGCGGCGGCGGCGGCGGCGGGGCTTTTCCTGTCCGGTTACGTTAAGGTCACATGACCGAGAGAGCGGAGCGACTAGTGCAAAGAGGCTGAGAGCGGCTCCCGCCGGGGGGGAGAGGCGGCGAGAGAGCAGTGGCGGCAAGAGCCCCCTCCGCCCCCCCCCGCCGCCTCCCCTCCCCCCGCCCGCCTCCGCCTCCTGCTGCTCTGCCGCCGCCGCCGCCGCCGCCTGCAGCACTAACTACACTGCCGCTCCCACCCAGGCTCCGCTCTGCTCCAGCCAAACTTCTGCAAACCATGTGCAGCCGAGGCGAGGAAACTTCTCTCCACCTATTGGGGCTGGAGGCTTGAGTCACTAGCCCCGTGTTTACATAAAGTGTTTAGGTAGGATAATCCTGGAGATGCTCTGGGAAGGGATGCAGAACTGCTCCGGATCCTTCTTGCAGGCTTCTGCTTGACATCTCTCGGCCAATACTTTTGTCCTTTATTTCCCGTGTGGCATAAGTTTTAAGACTTGAAAAGGAGTGGACTTGAGAACCAGGGAGAAACTTGTAAATCACTAATAGCTGTTTTTCACCAGTGGAATTAAAAAGTCATACCAAAGTAGATCTGTTTGTGGTGTGTATAGAGAGGTATAAGTGCTTCCTTAAACAGACTAGTTGAGTGTGATGTCAGACGTTTCTGTTAGGATGAATTTGATGCTTATTTCAGTAATTGTGTTTTTTGAAGCGTTGGTCCAAAATTAGTTTGCAAAGCACTTTTGTTACTTGAGAACAGTTTACTTTCTTGTTAAGTTTTGATCTCTCGGGTACTGTTAGATTGGATTTAGAGTTAGCCATTCTGTTAATTTGGAGGTCCTGAAACAGGTAACGTGGCAGGCAGGGGACTTAGATTCTCTGGTGGTCATTTTTAACATTTTAAGGTTTGTTTTTGTTGCCATTTTGTTAGAATTATATTTATATCTTTGGAAGTACCGTTTAATTTCTTGAGGACTGGATTTAGTGATTTCTGTATTTTACATATCTAGGCTTTTGAAGACTTAAGAATATGGCTTGATTATTAAGGAACTGAAGGCAGCAGTTTCCAGGACACTCTTTGGTTCTAAGGCATGCAATTTGGTTATAAGCCCTTAATTTGATGTTGAACCCGTTTTGGTTTACAGAGCCAGCCTTAGCACATTGCCCTGGCACATAGTTTCCAAAATATTTAAGGCAAGCTTAATACCTTAAGACAGTTAACATACAGAAGTGTCCCTCCCCCCCCCCCCCCCAAAATCTGAGTTTGATTTAGTAATCCAGTTATACCCAGAGCTACTGATGACTAATTTCTTCTTTGAAGATTAAATAAGCAGCTGTGTAACTTTAGTGGTCCAAAAGTGAATAATAGATTTCATACATACCTGCCTTGAACTTTCTTGTTCTTTGATCAGCTAGATAAATGACTTGAGTGGTTAAATGTCTGCCTGCAAAACCAAATTCTGACCCTGATATATAAGTATTTCTAGTGCACTAACACATCAAAGTTGGCCTTCAGATTGGCAGGCCAGATTCCTTGGATTGGCTGTGCAGTGGAGATTTGTTTCATCTTATTGAGAAACTAAAGTGGTTCTGATTGGTAGACAGAGTTAGAAGTCTTTCGGTTCTTAATTCTTTTAGACCTTGACTGAACTTCCAAGTTTATGGTCTGATGGAATACTTACAGTGGAGAGTGAACTGACTTAAGGGAGACTAAAGGAAAAAGTGGGCTAAACTGATGGCTGAAGTTTTAGATTAGTTTTAACCATTGTGTCTAGAGTAATTGGCCTTGAGTCTCAAAGTAATCGTTTATTCTTAAGACCAGTGAATAGTTTCCCAGTACTGTACTCTTATATAGTTGTATGGAAATGAACCAGGGTTATTTCTGAAACTCTGGGTCTCATTCCTAGAGAAAGTGCTGTCAAGAACATCCTAGTTTTCTCTTCAGGAGCTGCTGTTCTGGATTTTAGAACAGGGCTGATTGGCTGCTGGTTCTCTCAAGGCATAGGCATGTTACTTGAATTTTGCCAACTTATTTTGATTTTTAGTCACCAGCATAAAGTAATAGCGTTATAAGGAAAGCTGTGCAAATTATATCTGCTTTCTATAACTTGCTGAAGTAGAAACATTTAGGTGAATACATAGGCAGAGGTTGGGGAAAAAATAGTCCTTGCAAAGAAGGACTAATAGTGTATCTCAGGATTGGGTTAAGAGAGCTGTCAGTCTGGTTGTGAGAGAGCCACAAATGCCCTGAGTAGTAAGAAAAATAGAAGTTAAATCATATGTTGAGTGCTTATGTACTGACTTATTTTGGTATTTTCAAAATAAGTTTGGGAAATTAGGAGTTCAAAAATAGTTTCACACATTTCACCTCAAAGAAAATCACAGTGTAAGCAGATAATCTAAGTGGATTCATCAAAAGTGAGTTATGCATAAATATTCTGCAGTCATGTGCTGCTGAAAGTTTTGATGTGTGTTATGCTGAAATACAGTCAGAAGAATATGCACTTGCTTGTGTTCTGAAGAGGATAATTTCAGTGAGACTCTGATAGTGGTCAGAAAGCAATTTAATAGTGCTGTACTTAACCTTTTTTTTTTTTTGGCCAAAATTTGACTGTGAGTGCTCAAGTGGAAGATGGAATTTCCTTTAACACTGATAATAAAAGTAATAGAGGAAATAATAGATGTGGGTAGATCCCAAAGCAGCTTTTTCCCTATATAATTTCATGAAGGATGTCCTCCCAGGTAACCTTGAATTAGGAAAATGACATGCTTTTTACATGCTATTAAGCCTACCATGCCTTCTGTGTTTTACATTAAATTTAACATCTAAGTCAGATAAGATGTATTTTGAAAGTGTCTTATATTTTGTTGGTTTGGTTATAAAGTTTATAGGAAATGCTTGTTTTATAGTTGGTTGTTATTGAGACCATTTTCCCTCAAGGATTCCTGATACTTTAGGGAACTTTTTGTTTTGCTATTAGTGTTCGCTTTTGTGTTTTCTCTTCTCTCTTCTCTTCTCTTTTTTTTTTTCTCTTCTCTCTTTTCTTTTCTTTTTTCTCTTTCCTCTTTCCTTTCATTTTATAGAGTGTGCAAGTGGAGGAAGGGCAGAGAGAGGACAGAGGCTGCGAAGGCGGGGGGCTCTGTGCTGACAGCAGTGAGGCAGATGTGGGGTTCAAACTCATGAACCGAACTGAACTGGGAGATCGTGACCTGAACTGAAGTCAGATGCTTAACTGACAGCCACTCAGGTGCCCGGCTTTTGGGTTTCAGACCTTTTTGATTACAATCTGAAGATGGTACACACATATATGTAAAATTAAAACAGCCATCAGGAAATAGTACTTGATATTTTGAGTTATGTAATCCATTCTACCTTTTTTTTAAAAAGTGATTGTGGTGGTTTAAATTGATTTCATCAGCCACCAATGAATCTAAGCCCACTTTTTGAAAAAAAAACTGGTAGAATAGTTTTCTTGCTGTTACAAATTACCCCAAGATTCATGGCTTAAAACAGTAAATATTTGCTTATCTCTTACGGTTTCTGTGGATCAGGAATCTGAACTAGGTTAGCCTGGTGGTTTTGGGTCAGGGTCTTTCATGAGGTTACAATCAAGATGTTGACCGGGCTAAAGGATTTGCTTCCAAGGTGGCTCACCCTCTGGCAGGTTAATGCTGGCAGTTGGTGGGTCTCAGTTCTCCGACAGACTGCTTGAGTGTCCCCACAACATGGTGGTAGTTTGTTTCCCTCAGAGTGAGGGATCCTAGCTAGAGCAAGGAGGAAGCTACACCACTGCCACATGCTGTTAGTTAAAGTTAAGTCCAGCCTACAGCCAAGGGCGGAGGAATTAAGCTCTGTGTCTTGAAGGGAAGAGTATCAAAGAATTTATGATATATTTTAATAACTACCACAGTTCTGATTTTTCCTGTTGATGGGTGAATTAGGACTGAACCAGAAGGCTTGTTGAAGTCAATCTGTAAGTAATTATCGTGGTTAATTAAGTCAGTTTTTTCTCTGAGGGCATCTAGTCTCAAGCCCTCCATCTTAAATTTGAGAAGGGAGGCTCAGAGAAGTTAAGTAATTAACCAGCCCAAGGCAGTTCAGTCTAGGAAAACTAAACTGATTTTTCTCTGATTTTTGTCATGAATAATCTGTGTGCTGATTGAGAAAACTGGCTGGTGATTTTTAAAAATCTAAAGAAGTTATAGTGTAGAACTGTTGTGTTCTAGTCTCCTAGTTTGCGATCTTCTAGATAATAGTAATACTTTCAACCAGTTTGGCCTGCAGATAATGCCCGATTCTTTATGAATTTGTAGACTCCTCACACCAGCACCCCTTCCCCATTGATTTTTAGAGGAGACAAAATGTACTTATCCAATGAATTCAAACTTTTATTTACTGTTAGTTCCAGATGCTGCCTATATACAGATCTTGAGATTGACTATTCCAAATAGCACATTTCTAGGACCTAAAAGAGGTTATAAAAAAAGAAAATCAGGGTTTGAGTGTGAAAGAAAGCTCTACCATTTTCTGCTGTGAAATTGTCATGGACACTTTGGATCTAGAAAGATTTATTCTAAGACTGGTCTTGGCTTTGTGGTACAAGGAGCAGAGACCCTGACATTGGTAGTGTGAGTGAACTGGGGTAAATGTCTAAGGCTTTCCTGGATTTATTTCTTTTAAATCCAGTAGACTCAGGGCACCTGGGTGACTTAGTCGGTTAAGCATCTGACTCGGGGGTCAGGGCATGATCTCCTGGTTCGTGAGTTCAAGACCCGTGTTGGACTCTGTGCTGACCGCTTAGAGCCTGGAACCTGCTTCAGATTCTGTGTCTCCCTCTCTCACTGGCCTCCCCTCCTCATGCTCTGTCTTTCAAAAATAAACAAACATTGGAAAAAAAAATTTTTTTTTTTTTTAATTCAGTAGACTTTCCTGAGTAATAGATTGGGGGATACAGTAAATTATCTTACACCTTTGCTGTTGCCAGATTGATAATGGCTACTTTGTTCTTAAACTGCTTTCCAGTCCTGATGCTTGCCATCAGGACTCCTGACAGTTGCTATTCTGCCCTAAAGCACATACTTACGTGATTGCTTTTCTTGTTGTCTATCTATATCTTGTATCTCCCATCCCTACTGTAAATTCTTTACAGGAACTTCCTTTTCTGTATATTGCTGGTGCTCAGATGCTTGCAGAATCTGTAGTTGAAGGACCCAAGAAGTCAGTTTTTTCCCCTAGAACTGAATGTAAGAAAACGTTTATTGTTGTAGAAAGCCTCTGAGTATAGGTGGGAAGTGCTGGTGGTGTATATGTCAATAACTATCTGTGTTCTTAAAATGGTCACAGTCCAGTGGAGGAGGACAATCATATACTTACTATACAGTTTGTTCTACACTATACGTGTTCAAAGTGCAGTGGTGTAGTATAAATGAAGTTGGTATTTAAACTGAATCTTGGGGCACCTGGGTGGCTCAGTTGGTTCAGCGTCCAACTTTGTCTCAGGTCATGAACTCATGGTTTGTGAGTTTGAGCCCCGCATTGGGCTCTGTGCTGACAACTCAGAGCCTGGAGCCTGCATTGGTTTTGTGTGTGTCTCTCTCTGCCCTTCTCCCGCTTGTGCTCAGTCTCTGTCTCTGAAAAATAAACTTTGAAAAAAAAAAAAAACCCAAAAAACTGAATCTTGAAGGTGAGTAATGTTTGAAAAATAGACTTAGTTTCATCACATGTTTGGTGGTTGTACATTTCTTAGCTTTACTTCTTCATTATACATTTACCCTGAGTTTTATTGTTTTGAGTTGCCATCATGTTCTGAAAAGTTGCTTTTTTCTGTGGTGTGCATGTTCTTTTCACATTTTTCTAGAAGTGTGCTGTCCCGTTAAGTAGCTATAAGCTGCATGTGGCAACGTAAGTTAATGTCACACTAGCCACATGTGGGTAGAGGCTACCATATTGGACAACACAGATATAGAACATTTCTGTTGTTGCAGAAAGTTCTGTTGGGCCGTGCTGCTCTAGAATCATGTTTTGCTCATCTGCACATTCTCATGTTGTCTGTAATGTGTTGAGTTAGGAATAGAATGAGGAGACTTAATAGCGTTCTGGCATTATTGGAAGAGACAGAGTGGTTGGTATTTATGAACAGAGGGGAGAGAGTGTAGGCTACTATGTGGTGAAGTCAAGTCAAGTGTAGGTTGGTATCGTGCTCTGTACCTTAAGCTGTTTGGCTTTGGGCATGTTCCTTTATTTCTGAGCCTCAGTTTTTTGTTTTACTCAAATAGGGAGAATAATCATTATCTCCTAGGTTTGTGTAAGTGTAAGAAGGTGTGTGTAGGGGAGCTCAGCACAATACCTCAGTCTATGATAAGATCATTACCATATTTTTGAAATACTCACTGATAAAGGAATTTGCAAAAATGTTTTCCTTTTGGTGCACAGTTCTGTGAACTTAACATAGATGAATATTTGTGTAACCACTACCACAGTCAGGATACAGAGCAGTTCTGCTGCTTTCAGACACCTCTGTCCTGCTGTCCTTTTATGTACTTGCTCTTCCTCCCACCCTTATCCTCCTCGGCAGCCACGGGTTGGTTCTTCATCAGTTTTGTCCCTTTTAGCATGCATGTTACATAAATGGAGTCCTATAATATGTAGCCTTTTGAGACTGGCTTCCCAGCCAAGTTGGGTGACGTTGAACATGTGTCACGTTTAGTGTAATTTACAAGTATTTCCTACAAAACAAATGTGAATCTGAATTTTTGCTTATAGAGTTGCATTTGACTTGGGGTTTTTATGCTTGAAGGTGAAATCAGTGATGAAATTTATAGGGAAAAACGACTTCCCCTGATAACAACTGTGTGTCTGTACGATACTGGCTTGTTTTTCTTTATGAAAATGATTGATCCTTGGTAGGGGAGATTCCTGTTTTCAGTAGTTTATCCATATTAAAGCTCTTCAGAGTGGCAACAGAGTCCTCATTTGAAAAAGTTGTCTGTCTAAACATTAATGTCTAGAAATTGGCCTGAAGATAGGATAACCAGCGGGCTGCTTTGCCCGGGCCTTTCCCAGCCTAGCACTGAAAGTCTGGCTGCTGCAGGAAACCCCTCAGTGCCGGGAAATCCAGGATCTGAAAGGGCCCCATAAAATTTGGGGATTCCAGTTCGTGAACCACAGGACAAGTATTCAAACTAATCTTCCCTGCCATCAGAGCGCTTAGAGTCAAAATCTCTAAGGTAACCAGAACCCAGACCACATGAGGCTTTTAAGATTAAGATCAGTATTCTGAATTTAAAGATTAGCACCCTGGTGGCTTAGATTTGACTGGAATTACATCATTTTTGGTAGTTTGTTGCCCTCTGTAAGTCTTCATGTGATGAGTTCAAGAAGGAGAGTCCGTATTTTTATGTTAGCAATATTCAGTTGTGGTAAGCAAGTTTCCAAGACTCGTGTGGAAGCCAAGTTAAAGTCAAGTTTGTACTTAACATAATCTCTTGTTTTGGGTTTTTCAGTTCAAATAGTGATGTGTAAATCTCATATACATTTTAGCTTCTATGTTTCATGTTGTGCAGAATGAGTGAAAAAATGTGGCCTTTAAAGATTTTAACAAAATCCTGCTTTGTTAAACGTCTGAGGCAAGGGAATTTGGACTAGTGACCTTAAATCTTCCTTACAGAAATGGCAATTCAGAACCAATGGCCAGAATTGAAAGTTAATAGAATAGCATCGGAAGCACTTGGAAAACCTTCCTCTGCTCATCTTCCACCATCTCACAGCAGGGGCCACACGCGGTTTGTAAAGCGGGGCTCAGAGGAGCACGAGGGGAGGGGATGGGGCTGGGGAAGGTGAGAACTGAATCACCCAAAGAGACACATTAGTACATTAAACGGAGCAAGAGGTGCTAGTGAATTACTGACTATCTGTATCTGTAAACTGAGGACGAGCCGATAAGAAGTCTCTTAAGTTAGTGGTTCTCCGAGTTTAGTGAGCATGGGAACCTCTTGGAGAGTTGTGAAAAACATTTTAGTTGCAGCCTCAGAAATTCTGACTGCAAAACACAGGAATCTGTAAATCATGGACACCCAGGTGTTCGCTGATGCAGTTGGTCATCACGCTTTGGAAAAAACTGCTGTAAGTGGTAGAACAGGGAATATTTACATTAGGGGAGTATGGTTAAGTTTTCTCAAAAAAAATCTTTCTTCTGCAAGCAACAATATATTGATTTTACATGTAAGAACATCTCTACTTCTGACTGCTGTGGTTGTCTGAGGAGGCACCCAGAATGCTTATGGGCAGCTGCCTGGTGCGTGGGAATTGTGTAGAGTTTCCGAGCCTTTTGGGGCTCGCGCTGAACAGCCGACTCATCTGGAACAGTGGAAATACTACTTTGTATTTATTGAACTTGAACCACTTCATCCATTTAGGTGCAGGGTTTACTAACCTCTGTCTTTAAGTCTCTCATGCTGTTAACTGGACTCAGAGGGAGTCCTCGTGATTTGTTTCAACCTCCATTTAATCTCAGAATCATACTGGGATTTTTGCTCAGATGGATTGTAGGAACAGTAAACTCTAGGCTTCACATACGTTAATTCCATTAATACTCCTAGTAACTCTATTAGGTAGCGGTACTATTAAACCCATTTTACAGATGGAAAAAAACAGACCCAGAGAGACTCAGTGATTGGCCCAAGGTGATCCAGCTAGCAGGTGGTGGTGAAGAATTCGAATGCAGGTTGGTCTTAACCACTGTCCTCTCATGAGTGATAGAAATTTGATCCCATTTTGAAGAGTGCTTCCAGGACTACTGGTGAATGTAGTTAACTTGAGGCTCTCTTTAGTCTTGTGGTAGGATTTCTTGGTCGTTTTGTTTTTACAGAAATTGTGATCGTGAAACACTTCCTTGCTTCTGTTACACCTAAGATAATTTTAAAAACTTCTCTATAACTTTTAAAAGTTGAAGCTTTTAGCATGAATTTAAGTATTTGAAAAATGTAGTTTCTGATGAATCAAATGTTGATGTTTAAAAATCTGTTATATCTGCCTTTAATGTATCTAGTGGAATGTACTACCATAATGAGTTGGTGGCTACCATGATACCTTTAAACATAAGTAAGCGATTCAGACTTAACACTGTTCCTTTTTCTTATGGAAAATGTTATATTTTTCCCACAAAATGTTTACCTAATAAATTTTTACGCTTGAAGGTCTTATTGATTATCCTTTTGATCTTTGCAGCATACTTGTATAGAAGCTGAAATGTTAGAATTTGTCTGGACCACGAGACACCAGATGTTTGTTTTTGTTGTTAAAATTGTTACAGTTAACACAAAGGTGACCCAAACAGTAGAGTACATACTGATAATTGAAGTAAAACTTTATTGGAAATGCCCTTCTTAATAGGTGGGGGATTATATGATCCCTATTAAATTAGGAAGCTTTGTTGGCCAATATTTCAAATTGTCTTCTTGTTGGTTTCCCGGAGGGTTTTAAAATGTATTTATAGGTTTTTAAATACAGTAGATGGAACTGAGATTCAAGATGGGTGAGAAATGTCTTCTGTACAGTGTGAGAAGGGAGGCTGGGAAAGAATAGGCTTGGTACATTGACTGCAGGCATACACCCAGGCACGGCCGTTTTCTGTGAGTGCTGACCTGGAACTTAGGTCTAGAAAGCTGTTCTTGAACTATCGATGTCCATGTGTTCCTTGGGAAGCCTTGGGAAACGTACCTCCCAGATTGCTGCTCAAGAACTCTTGCAGTGAACTGAAAATAAGCCAGGATGTTTACCTTTGCACTGTTAGAGCAAAGAAGTACATAAAAACCAGCAGTAAGGGTATAAATATGTATTCTCTTGGTGAAACACTGTAGCAGTTAAGTTGCAAAATAAGTGTCTCAATTTAGAACAGTAACACTGTTCAGAGAGATAAACTGAACAGCAGGTAAGAACTGTGCAGTTCCACTCCTGTGCAGGTGGATTTTTTCCATAAATACGGTATAGTATGTAAATGCATTTTTTCAGCCTTTCCTCTAGCTTGCTTTATTGTAAGGTTACAGTACATAATACATGTAAGAAAAAATGTGTTAACTGACTTATTGGTAAGGCTTTTGGTCAACAGGCCAAAAATAGTTTTTGGGGAGTCAAAAGTTATACACGGATTTTCAGCTATGTGGGGGACTGGTGCCCCAGCCCCCCATTTTTTTCATGGGTCAACTGTATAATGTATGAAGAAAACCCAGAACATTTAAATTCATTGTGGTGGGAAGCATAGTGGGGCAAGTGGGGGTTATGCATAAAAATGAAGATAAAAAGGGCTTATTTAAAAAGTTGTGTATCAGGGCTCTTGGGTGGCTCAGTCGGTTAAGGGTCCGACTTTGGCTCAGGTCATGACCTCATGGTTCAGTTTGTGAGTTCAAGCCCCACGTCGGGTTC